AAACCAAATATAATCAGGCAGTTTGGGAATGTGACGATGAAACAGCAAAGTTAACCCATTTAAACAAGATTAAAAAAAGGAAATCTGGGCATAAGGGTCTCTGTGTATTGGATTAATTGGATTAATTGGTGAAAAACATTGATTTTAAAGGGCAGGTATCTGGATTAGGATCTGCCCATTTACTCATGATGACACAGGGGCGCTACTTAAATAGTTTGTGAACAACTAAGATGGCAGCTTTGCCGCTGGAAGGTCCGTTGGACTGAGCAGCTACAGCCACAGTTCACTAGTTTATTATTCATGTCGAACAAAGTATCAGGACAAATCAGTCTATTTTGATGAACATCCGCAGTCCCAAATCTTGCGTCAAATCTGTCCTAGAAACACTTTTTGTTAAATGAGTCCACCATGAGCAAGCGTTTGACTCAGAATGAAAAAAAATATCTATAGAAATAAAATCTCTGACCTGATTACCAGCCTTTCACCACCAGACATCGGCATGAAAAGAGTAAAATAAGAAAACTGAAACAGCCAGGTTTATTTTGGGCCTGACATCAGGTTACTCATTGGGATCAGTATTAGAGAGCATTGATTGATGATATAACCTCCCCTCGAATGCTTTCTGTCATTTCGACAAAAAGCCAGCTTTGGTTTCTTGTTTGTGACTCTGTGCATCGGCTGAAATTAAAAGCTGCCTCCTGAATATTTTGTACTCTGTGCTTTGCCAATAATGGAGGAGAGATAACAGTTTTGTTGCAGTCAGAGCTGAGCCAATCCAAACGCTCTGCCAAGCCAGGTTTGAGAACATAACGCAGTCAATCAAATCAAAGCAACCAAATATTTTTGAAATCTTATTAATACATGAAAAAGCACATCAGTCTGCTGTTAAGAAGAGCGGTGCAGCTTTGGCAGGAAGAGAAAACTGTTAGAAAAAGGATCTGAAGCGGTCAGCACTGGATCAAAGGGTTAGCATAACACACCTTGTTACTTCGCTTGTATTCACAGAGAAACAAATACCACTGCAAAGGGTAGCTACTGTTTTTTGACCGCATAAACCCCAAGTCCTATAATTGGCTGCCACCATGCTGGTTTTCTTGAGACAGAAGTGACCACATTGGGTCAAAAGGGACCAATTGACCAGTTAACACTTGTGTCCACTTCTTTAGCAGGTGAATGACTTAATTGCCCTGCTAAGAATGAGAGTGAGAATCTATTCATAGTAGTTGCTGAGCGCTGCTGTTTATTTTTCTCACTGAAGAGCCCAGGAGAGCTGTTGGATAATAGCTGACTCGCTAAGAGCAGTGGGGTGACTCTCATGTGAAGTAGGTGAACTTTAAACAACTAGTCTTTATGTTACTTCCATTCAGTGTGAAACTCAAGATAGGAATAATCCTGGATCTTGTGTACTGACCAACAATTTAAAAAATGGACACAGAATACCTGCTATATAATGCAATACATGAACACAATGGCACCAGATCTTCACTCAACAAGGTTCTGTTCTGATTTCAGGAGGTTTTGTATGAGTGATTGGAAAAAAAAAAAAAAAGTTGTTGCAAAAAGTCTTTGCTCCACTTTTATTTTGAAGGAAATTCTTCCTTTGATGCAGTGCATTTGCTGTTGGGGGCGGTTTAGTCATGGTATAGTGCGGCTGCATGAATCATTACCAAGCAGCAGTCTTATTTAGTGTGAATGCTCAGGTTTTTTATATGTATAATCGGGGATTGAGTTGGCTGGAAGGTGGGCACATTAAAGCTGTACGCCAAGAGGCTAAAAGCCACCTCATCCTAATCTTTTTGCCACATTCAGATTAAAAAGTGGTTCGTGATGTGTCTCAGTTTCTTGGTGGAAATGTTGGGCTGAAGTTGGCTTGGCCTAGCCTAATGGTACTGTACTGGATACTGTTAGCCCAGCCCTGATTCTCAAAATTATTCTAAGTGTTGAATCTTCTAGAACAAAAACATGCCCATTCAAATCAGGAGATGAGTCTGTCCAAGTTGTTTCCAAGAAACTTTATTCGGGATGCAAATGAACAAAGTCAATGAGATTGAATTCTGGAGAATCCAGACTGGGGTAACAAAGAAAATCCCTCTTTTTCTATGGTACATTTGGTAGGCGTATACTCACTCCAAGGAACATTGGTCAACCCCTTTTTCTTTATGTAAGTTGCAAACTCTTTGTTTTTCTTGAGTCTCTCAAAGTAAAGACTCCTCCCCAATGAACTCACAATATTAGGTCTCTTACATAATAGTGTCTCAGGAAATTTTCATTCATAAACTAATTATGGCCCCATAACAAGGGCCTCTTTTCTCAAAAGACAAAGCTTTATTGTTCAAGTATCTTTTAGTGGTAAACAGTGACTTTTCTTAAATACACTGTCTTACTGTTTTGACATCACATGATTGGAATCATGAGTTTTCTAGGACACACAACTTCATTGTTTCATTATAGACTAATGGTCTTGCATTCAGGTCATGCTTACTTTTAGGCTACGTGGTTCTAATCATATTTCCTCCGCTCGCCTTTGGATAACAGTGATCTTATGTTACAACTAAGCAATGGCTGAGTGTTGGATTCAAGGGGAAAAACACTGAAGTCTATTCCTCAAAAATGCTTCTGCATTAGGTTGGGTAAAGATGAGACAATCGGTGCCCATGACTGGCTTCAGAATGCCAATGTTAATTTTAACAGACATGTCAAGATTCAGTCTTTATTTTAGTCACAACTTAGTCTTTTTTTGGCCTTGATAGTTTTAGTCCAGTCAAAATATTTTACTTTTAGCCAATCAATCTCATTACATTAAAGTCATTGCTTTTAACCGTTGAGGCATTTAGCCTGGAGCATTATTCTAATTTTTTGAATTCCTGTTTTCGTGGGTTTTATAAGCTGGAAGCCGAAAATATGTTAAAATAAACAAATTAATTCTTGAAATTGTTTAAATTGTGGGCCCTGAATCTATAATCTATGAAAGTTTAACTTTTTGAATGGAATTAGAGAAATAAATAAACTTTTCCATAAAATTCAAATTTTTAGGGAAGGGTATGTATGTGCATATGTACATGTGTTTGTAAAAGTATACAAATAGCAGAGGCTAGATTAGAGAGTGGCTGTGAATTCTGGGGGGAAAAAAAGGCATGTGAGAACCACAGCTGAAAACGATCGAGTTGAGGTTAGATGTGGATGTGGTCCATTAGCTTTGGTTCAAGGTTCTGTTACAGTGTGAGCTAAGATTAGTCAGACAGGGGTCACTGCTTCCTCTTTCTACCTTTCTTTCAGCTGCTTTCTCTCTGCCACCGTCAGTATTTTTCTTTCACTGTGGTTTTCTTCTCTCTCCTCCCCAATCCTGATCCATCTGTGTCTACGTGCTTGTCTCTTTCCTTCCCTCATTTCTCTCTTTCATACCTCAAACTGTTTTATCCACTCTGCTTGACTCTTACATCACTCTCAGGAACTCTAGTTTTCTCTTTCTGTTCAAAACCGTCTTGTTTTTCTCCTTTCATGTTGCTTCCTTGTTCATATCTCCATCATCTGACTCCACTTTGACCAGTTTGTCTTTGCTTATCTCTCAGTTTGTACCTGCTGTTCATCACTACTTTCACGTCAGTTTATATCACTGAGATACTAAAATGTAATCGGAGGCAAGACAAGTTCAGCACTTTTCATGCACTGAGGCAAACCCAAAGTGCTCTACATAATGCATACAAGAAAACAAAACAAATGTGCTAAAAAATTAAAATTAAATTAAAAGAAAGCATACCAGAAAAGGGGGGCAGGGGTTGTGTTGAAGGTGTATTCTGGACGAGCGATTTTACTCTACTTAGTGGAACATTTTCTTAAATAAGTGAAGAAATATCTCTGTGAAAAATCAATAACAGGTGGAGCAACTCAGCAGGTTTTTTTAACCAAGTTCTTAAAGGATGCCTGCTTAAGGAAACTAGAAATCTGTCAGGCCATTATCCTTTGAAGAAGACAGCTTTCAGAAACTCAGCCGTCTCTGATTCTTCTTGTTGTGCCTTTTGCTTTTTATCATTCAAACAGTTCCTTTTAGAGAGAGCAGCCTCCTCAAATTGGATTCTTGTAAAGCTTGCTTTTGATTAGTCAGTGATTTTCATTCCTGCCAACTCTACCTCTGCAGTTACTGGCACAATGCGTGTCAGCAGCCCGGACTTTCTTGTGCTAGGAACCAGCTAATAAACTGTAATATGAACCACATTTTGCTTATGAAAAATGATGTGTCGAAAATTCTTGACAGGGTTTATGTTACTGTTAAAGTTTACTGTACTGGAAAATACAGTGCCACTATCTGCCTACCTCCCCTCCTCTCTCTCTCTCTCTCTTTCCCTCTTACACACACTGTACAGTCTGTTAATATGCTCTCCAGATATAATACCAGTTAATCCTGCCCTTGTTGAAAGAGGTCAAATTCCAAATTAATTTATTCTGTGTGAGTTTATTAACAATGAGCTCAATTTAGAGCTGCTGAATGTGCCAAAAAGACAATATTCAAGACAGGGACAGATTGAGCTAGGTCAATCCTTTAGCAGCTCACTTGATTAATTTGGAATTTCATTAATTCCCCATTAAACGTTTGCTAATGAGTGCACACCATTGAAATTCACACTGTGCACCCCATTTCCACAACAAGATCTGACATGAATTAGTTCTAACAACATGATTTAAATGCCCGCTCTGTGTGCTGGCATCTCTGTCACTTGTCTAGTGATGGAACTATGATGGCCAACATGGAGGGGATTACTGCATGGCTGATCACAGATCGGTTTCAGATTTTTTAATCTGTGTCTGGGACGAACAGGGAGAGAGAAACCCTCAAACCAAAATATGCAGGCCAGCAGACGTGAAACATCAAGTCTGATTTATGGATTTAACTCCTCAGCAGGCAGCGGATGGTGCTTCTCTATTTCTGACACTTGTATGGTTGATAGAAAAAAGCTTACTTTATCATTCTTGTATGCACTTAAAAGCGCAAATGCGTGCGCACATGGTTGCATGTTACCCTGTCTGTCTGTCTGCAACAGTTTCTCCTTGTTCTTTTTGAATAATGCAGTCACACTCGGCAACAGCTTCCACACGCATGCAGCAGGAGTCCTCTTCGCTTTTTACTAAAGAGGAATCGATTGACTGTGAGAACGGAGGAAAGGCGAGTGCTCTTTGGCATTCTCCGAAGGACACGGTGCAAAGTGCTGCCCTTAAAGCTCAGTGTGGGGTCTGACTCTTTGGATGTGGGGCTGGACTTCTTTGAGCTTGCAGGTGTTTTGTCGAATCGTTCTGTCTCTGGTGCTCAACGGGCATGTAGTCAGGGAGACAGCTGTATTAGGCAGAACATCAAGATTTCTCATTCACTTTGTCATCTGTTGAAGAGTTTCCCCCCCTGCCGTGATGTTGTTCATCTTAAGATTGTGTGTGAATGAGAATATTGCTTTTACTGTTTTAGACAAAACCATCATTTAGACTTAGTTTATTCCCATCGTAAATAAAGATGATTGTGTGAAGTAAATTGGGGCTGTCGCTAACTTATTAGCCTGCTTGTTAGCGATTGATCTCATGAGACTGGACATTATATGGAGGGTAACTTTGGACCAGGTAAATCGGACCTCTGCAGGAGTAGTTATATTGACATTTCTGTCCTTAATTAGCTCTTCTGTTTACCAGGGCTCTGCAGTCAGAGATCAGCAACCTATAGATACACTGACCACTGCTACTGTTGCCTGGATTGCTTGACAGACTCGTGCATCACTTCTCCCTGTCAGAGATGGTAGAGGCCCAGTAGGCTCTCAGGCTGCTTTTGCATCTATAGATGAGAGCAATTCATCAGGTACTTCGCCCTGAGGCTGTGGCCCCGCCCCCTTTTGGATGGACACAGTCAGTCTGAATTGACTGGTGGTAAATGTTAATGGAAATAATAGCTTGAAGTAAGAAAATAGTATTATTTAATGGCTTTTAGAATGGCAAACTTATAAATCATGACTTTACTGATCAGGGGTTTGATTAAAAAAGTCAAAGTTAAAATGAGAAGTAAGAGCTTTGAGACGAGGATGCCAGGTTATGTGCCTGCCGTTAAACTTTTAAAGAAAGTGTAGCAAAAATCTCAGGTTTTAAATAGACAGTTATTTTCACTCTTTAAAACCAGATGGCTCCTTTGTTTAATGAGTCTTAGTTTACTGTACTTAATGCCAATTCCCAATTAATGTTTCTAAAAAGTTTAAGTTATGTTTTGTTGTGTTAAAAGATACTCAGGATGGAAGTATCATAAATTGGTTTTGCAAATAAATCCTAACATATGGACAAATTAACTTCTAAAGTTTGTAATTTTTTGGTTTGTCCAAACCAAAGGTGTGAAGCAGTGGAGGTATTTATATTTATCCTCAGCCTCCTCCCGTCATCTCTCTTTTAGTCTTCCAGATTGCTGAAATGTCATCGAGCTATCACACTTGCGCCTGTCCCCCATGTACGCATACATGCACACAGAGATAAACATACAAACTCAGCAGGCTACTTTCATCCCTCAGACCGAGGAGGGGAGCAGAGGAAAGAGGAACAGAGGACAAGGGCAGAGGAAGTGTTGTGTTTAGTCAGCAGAGTGTGTCAGCCAGCTAATGGACAGACTCTCCCTGAATGGGATCCAAAACCATTAGCAACTTGCACACTTCAAAGGGTGGTAATGGGCGATTCTGTGAAACCATCCTAATGTAGGGTGTGTGTGTAAGAGTGAGAAAAAGAGAGAGAGAGTGTGTGAGGTATGTGTATTTCTGTCCATGACTTTGTATATCTTATTTACCTTTGTGCATGCTGTATTTTGCACCTGGACTTGTTTGTGCCTTCGCGTCTACATTATACATCTCCACGAGTCAGAGTTGTGTTCAAAAGTTTATATTTCTCTGTGTGGTCTGCAGCTTCTGATACATGAATAAGTGAGTTTAATGCTTGCATTTGTTGGAAGTAGTTGTTTATTTATTGAGAATAGTATCAGGCTGTGTCGGACTAAACCTAATATGTCTAACATTGTCAGGTAAATTAGAGAGAAAGCAGGGTAATAAACTGTTGGAATGCATCATGTCTTCAGATAGATTAACGGCAAATTCCAAGAACTGGATGAAGGCTGTGCTGAAGCCCAGTACTGGCACTGCATCAAGGACATAACATATGATAACATATAATACTAAATGATACGATATGATATGATACAATAGGATACAGTATGATAAAATACAATATGATATGATATGAAACAGTACTAAAACAACATGATACGATATATAATACAATATGATATGCTATGATACAATTTGATATATGATAGATGATACAATATGATATGATACGATACAGTATGATATGATAGGATACAATACAATACAATATGATATGATTTGAAACAATACAATACAATATGATATGATATGATACAATATGATACAACATGATATGCTACGATATGATATGCTATGATACAATATGATATATTATATGATATGTTATGATATGATATTATACAATACAGTTTGATATGATACAATACAATAGGATATGATATGATATGACATAATATGATGCAATACAATATGAAATGATACGATATGACACAATATCATATGCTATGAAATGATATATGATATGATACAATATGATACGATATAGTATGATAAGATATGATATGATATGTGATATAATTTGATATGATACCAAAGATATGACATGATACGATTTATGATTTATGATATGATTTGATATGATATATGAAATAATTTGATATGATATGATGTGATACAGGAAACAATAATACACAATCATCAACATGATGTATCACAGCTATTTTGATATCAGGGCAACAAAAATATGAGTCCAGGGCACGACATATCACAAAACTTTCATACAACATTTGAAATACTGTACTTCATTTTAATAAAAGTGGTGTTAGCAGGAGACATTCCTGTCTCCCTTGTGCTCTCTTTCGCTCAACAGTAGACACAAATGTAATTACTGAATTTTAATAAGATGCCAAATGGACTCGAGGGAATTTCAACATTTGCTGACCTGTGAATCTCTGCAGTTTTTGTCTTTGTTGTGTGAAAGCTGCAGGTCTGACAAAGAGCTGAATAGTCGCACACAGTGGGAAATAAAGTGCAGCCGCACACGTACAAAATGTAGCCCCTTCTTTCACATCTGTGTTGAACCGTGGACATGTTTATTAGCTCTTTAGAACTTAACCATTATGAGAAATGCATAAATATCATTGTTTTCATTGGCAGCACCAGCTCTATCATCTTCCCCTTTATGAAGCCACTAAACCACCACTACTCCACAGAACAAGAGTTAGAATAACACCTGTAAGCAAAGTGTTCATCTTGTTTCAGGAAATTGAAGGTGGAGAAAATAACTTCCAGTTGTAAAAACAATTGATACTTTGGGGCAGCGCTTGTCAAGACAGTTATCATACTGGAGATCTCCTATCTCAAGGACCCCAGCTATTGTTAATTACATTTGGAGGTAATTAATTGTTTGGAGTATAGCTGAGTGGGACATACATCACTGATTATCTCTGCATGTCCGGATGCTTGTGTGGTGGTTAGAGATATTCATTTGTGTTTTCTATAGTGACAACTTTGTGGGAAGAGAACAGACATTGCATGTGTGCATGCATGTATGAAAATACAATCTTATGGCCATACACTTAGAGAAGCACAATAAGGCGATGTACTATATGCATTCTGTATCCAGGTCCATATACTTTCAATCAAATGATGCATTCATTCAAAAAGACTTAAAAGTAAAAACCTGTCATCTCAGTGAAGAGGATTGGATAGCCTGACGTGAAAATACTTGAGTGGGCTGGAGAATAGTTTTGAAGTGCACTTGACTTTTTCCAGAGACAACTCTCAAACAGCTCTAACACAAAACCACTTGACCTCCAAATCTTGCAGTGTATCCATTCACTGGCCACCAGCCTGAAATTACTGAGCAGCTGTCAAATGCGTGTTTGTTTCACTTCGTACATCTTCAACTCCTTCTCCAGATTTTTCCTGCAAATGTATCCAGCCACCATGAAGCATTACAGCAAAATACAGCATCTGTTTAAGACCATTTCTCCCAGACGTCTAAGACAACCATTGCATTTACACAACAGAAGCCTTTTACAGTTATACATTCATGATTCAGTAAAAATATAAACAAACCATTATTTCTCAACCTTTATGCATTGGCACAAATCACAAAAAGCAATTGAGCCACATTAATGCATGACTGTCCAAATGGCTTACTGGTAATAAATGTCACATAAAGACTTGTGTGATAATCCAACTGTGTAACAAATCACATTACCTTCAGAGAAATAATGGGATTTAATTACATGTTGAGAAGGTTGACTGTTACTGTTGAATAAAAATGCCAACTCACTCTATCATTCAGCACTTGTTCATTGTACTGGGCTGTTTATGGGCTGACTTTAAATCTGCACATTTGCTCAATCCAATTTTTGAGGAACTTATTTCCTTTATATATACAAGTTTGTGTGAGTAAGTATAAAGTCATTTCTAGCCAAATGGCCAGTTTATTACAGAAAGAAAAGAATGAACCTAAAATGTACTTTATCTTCCAGCAAAATGAAAACCCTGAAGGAACTGTAAAACTTTAATTGACTAACTTGTTTTAGAGATTTGCATTTCTAAAATCTTGGTGATAGTATTTCTACCAGTCCTTGTGAATGGATCTCCAATTTGGTAGAACTTCCTTTTCTGCTACCAACAATAATTCAAACCGTATCTCTTTTGTAGTTTAAGAAACAGCCTGTGTTCATGTATGTTTTGCCTTGACACAACCAAAGAACAGATTTTAGGAGGCTATAGAAATGCTTGTTCTTGACAAAGACTAACAAGCCCAAGAGGGTAAAGCCTTAAGATAACATGATCCTAGGTTTTCTTAAAATGGCATATGTGAATTATTTTACACCAGATAAACAAGAAAAGCCAAGATAGAACAATACAGCAATACATACAACCAGTCTATCCAGTTGAATATGACATGAGTCAAGATATGAAACATAAGCATAAGACAGATTGACTTTTTGCTGTATCTGAGTTGATAGGAGTTTATATGTGTTTTCTGGCCTTAATTTATAGAGCTCAGTACAGAGTTGTACTTATTTCAATGCTGTTGTCTTTTTAATGATTACACTGAGTACACTGTGTTATATGTTTAATAGTAAAAAAAAATGTACTTGAGGAAAAATAATGCTGAGTCATGTTTTGAGAATGCATTTGTACTCAGCAGATATGGCATTTATTCAAAGATATGCAAAGACGTTCAAGCCTCAACAGCAATGGTTGATGAGAGAGGCAGGTTTCCGTTTTGCTTCCACTGTACTGTCCTTTCTGCCCTCACTGCATTTTCCCTAACAGTCGCTGTAAGTTATTTTTTACTCTCTATGGGTCTAAAGGTTTTTTGCTGGCTCCATATAGTAGCCATTAGAGGCGTTTATTTGGCTCGGTTCAATTCAAATAAGACTTTTAAAGCTTGAAAATGTTTGATTTTCAATCTTGAGCTATATAGATAATTAGATTTGAAACAATTGTAAAAATCATGGCTTGACTGCAGTGCACCAGACTGATGAGATTAAGGAATCTTTGGAGACAACAATCACAGTCAAATCTTCCTCTGTCACAATATGGATGTGCGGTACATAGCATCCAACTCTGATCGATAGTTATTAGATAAAGACTTCCATTTGTGTTTCCAGGAAATCATTGGCCTTTGGTATTTACAGGTGCTTTTACTATCCCAAAGCTCATCCCTCTTAAGTTACAACTATCCCCCTTTAGTTTCTTGTTATCACAACAGCTGTAATATAAAGTGCTACCAAACAACATACTGAGATGCAACTACAAGGTGAAAAGTGACTCATGAAAACTTGTTTGTTAACAGAAACACACACATTCATTGTCTGTTCAAGTTGTTTCAAGAAGTACCCACCATTTCAAGTGCAGAATAACAGCAGTAGGTCTCCCTCTCTACCGAAGAGTGCCTCTCTTGACAACGCTGAAAGAATGGCCTCCTAGACAAATCCACTAAAAATCCAAGTGCCTCCACAGCGTGGAAAGTGAAATCTTTTCGCCTCTTTTTTTTATATATCAAAGTAAAAATAAAACTTCTCAAAAGAAGACACCCTCAGGATTCCACTCTGTAGTTTACCTTTAAAGAAACACTGGCAGTCTGTGCTCTTTGGTATTATTTTCTTTATTGAGAAAGTGGTGCCAATGAGCAGAGGAGAACCAGGAGGGGAGAATCAATCCTTGGCCAGTGGGTAGATATAGTTCCAGAGGTGGGGCTCATAACAACTACACCCTCTAATTTCTTTCTCTACTGTTCAAAGTTATGTTTTGTCCAGAGCAGGGTATGCCCAGGGCCTTCTCCCCCACCCTGTGAGAGCTGTGAATGAAATTTTATATGGCTGTAAATATTGATGCTGGGGGAACAGCACAGGACAGCAAAACAGTCTCTCTGTTCTGAGGGAGGCAGATCACGTCAATAGAATGATCAAGGGTGTTTGAAAAGGTCCTGCAGACATTTAACCATGAGCTGGGAAATTTTTGTTTCATAAAGGATGCAGTTTGGAGCCGTGTGAGGGTGCAACTTTGTCAAATTTATGTTTGTGGTGAATAAACTATGAGACAGTTCCTTCAGTCCTCCATTAATACACACATGGCTCCAGGTAGAGCTTCTTCCACTGAAGTTTTATTTGGTAAATTATTTATGAATTTGGTTAATTATAAATACCACCCCATCTCACAGTTCCTTTTACTTTCCTTCACTGTACAATGATTAAAATGCCCTCTGCAGATCCCTAACCCTCTTTCATCTGACACTTTCTTTTCCTGGTTTGCACGCCATCCTAGTTTCATTTTCTGTGGCATAGATTCACAGTAAGTCCCACCTGATTCAGCCATAAAAGTGCCCAACACATCCACCTCCAACAGTGTCTAAAAAATTAATGATCACAGTTTGAGAAACAAGAGTTTGACTGAACCATTATAATTAGATCAAATGTTACGCAGATGATACTCAGATCTGTGGAGCCCATTGACCCGACCTTTCTTCATGATTGTTCAGCAGCTATCCAATAATTGATATCATTCAATATCCTCAATTTGAATCAGACAAAAGGGAAGTGTTCCAAGAGAATTTCATCATTAAAGATAATAAGTTTATCCACCCAATTTAATAAAGGATATTGTTCGTATCTACCTTTGTATCACGGAGAAGGAGAGGGGGAGAAAAAACTCCTGCTTGCTAACTAATTTATTTTACTAGTCTTAACAAACTTCTGCTTTTTTCCATAAAATATTCAACCCAATATTAAAACAATATTAAATATTAAAATATTATAATTTAGTGTAAAAGAGGCTTTACAGAGAGAGAGCATTTCAAGACCAGTTAAACACTCCTCACAGCTCCTTTAACATGAGGCAGCCATCAGTTACACCTCCCATCCTCTTGAATCCCTCTGTAAATTTATAGTTCAATCCAGACTTCACAAGATTCTGTTAATTGCATGACCTTGACCAAAGTTACGTTTCTGACTGCTTAGCTCCCTGTTTCTCTTTTCAGTCATTACAGTTTTGCATGAATTCTACATCAAAAGTTGTGATGCTTTTAGTTGTTTAACACTGGGATTCATTTCCTCTGTTGTTATTTATATTTGTTCTATATGTGGCACATGGACTTAGTACTTGAGAAGTGCTCTGATTAAAAAGCTTTGCATTATTGAAAACATCACTCCATCATCTGGCCTTTGAACTAACTTAAAAACCTTCAAGTTCCTCTGAGCAGCTCAGACTGTGTTGTCTTTAAATCCTTTTCAAACTTTTCTTTTGTGAAAGCAACCCACTCGCTGCTGTCAATACAGCCTTCCCCCCTCCCCACCCTCGCCACATGAAAACTCTCCTCTTTTCTCTAATTTCTCCTTGATTCCTTGGCTCTGTTCTTTTTCTTTCAACCTCCTCTCTTTTTTTCCCCCTCCTTTGTCACCTGCCACAGCGAGAAGAACAAAACTCAAAAACATTTGCTTGTGATCTCTCATAGGTGTGCACACACTTATGCGCACGCATCCACACACACACACAGGCGTCCTCCCACAGACAGACACGCTCACACAAACCAACACGTGCAGACAGACCAGCTTGAAGGTTGAGCTGGAGTGTCTGCCAACAAAACTACATGAGAAAAGAGAGGTGAAAGAAAAAATAAGAGATGCATCTGGAGAGGGAGTGACAGCTCATTCACACCCACACCCACACACACACACACACACACACACACACACACACACACACACACACCCACACCCACACACACACACACACATGCACACGAGACCCTAGAGACCTCAAATGGTCTATTTATACACCTCCAAGCCTTCTTTTACATTATTTATTATACAGGTTTTTAATACTTAACAGTACTTTATGACAAATAAGACACTGCGCACATGAAGAGAAGAGGCAGAGCAGCTAATATTGTGGATTAGGGTGAGAAAAGTGAAAGGTGGAAGAACAGATTAAGAGCAGAAGAAGAATGGCAGCAGACACTGACTTCAGAATCCTTCTGAGATGCAAGCTAGACAGAAAACAAGATATTTTTGTATTTCAGTAGATTTGAGACCACCTGAGTCCCAAAAGATCCAAAATATATTAGTTTCCGTCGTTCTGCTCTTTCCCTTGTAGAACTTCACAACATGATAATAAATCGGGCTGAGGCGCACCACGAGATCCAACTCGTCTCTAGGGGCAGCATCACACTCTGTGGCAGATATCCTGGTAGAAACTATGTGAGTTATAGACAAGTTAAAAAAAAAAAAAAAAACCTTTACGTTAACATTCAATGAAGCAGTTTGTATTTTGTCCAACCCAGATTACCCCCCTCTATTTTCAATTATAGTGCAACAATAAAATGCTTCATTCCTTTTAAAGCCCTGTTTAAGCATCTGCTTCAAACCTGCACCATAGCACTCAGTGTAGGTCTGCACTGCTTTGTGTCTTACACAAAAGCTTATGCTGTAGCCCAACACCCATCTCTGCAGTATACATCAGTTGTTCTGCTTGGCAGTGGACATTTCCATCATTGCATTTCATGTTCTCTTCCTCTGCAGCTCTACGGTCCGTCTCCTCCAATGTCTTTTCTTCTAAACAAAAAATACAAAGCAGGACCAAAACCAGCTCGATATGATGAGCACATGTTGCTGCTGAACAGCATTAAGGTGAAGTGTTGCAGAGCAGAAGCATGATCCGGGTTTAAATCAATACTGTATGGATGTATGGTGCACCTTGCATCTTGCAGGTGATATTGTCGGTTTACTGTGAGCACTAAAAAGGCAATCAACCTGTTTGAAAGATGATGTTTGTACCTCGCGTTGCAAAGTATGTCATCTAACTAATCACTCCTCCACCTCTGAATCTTTTGATCAACACAGTTTGACTTCAAAACTGTCCAAAGCTTTATTTCCAATGTCCATCATCAACAGGAAGCATTAAAAAGATTAATATGAACCCAAATTTGTGACATGCAGATCTTGACTGGATGAGTTTGTGCTGGCTCTTTTTTTTTTCTGCCCTAACATTTTGACTTTAAAAAATACAGACATGATAGATTCATATGGGATTAAAAGCAGACGTCCTTGGTAGTTATTGGAAATAAGCAGAAGCACCCAAGTCATACTAATCCCAAGCAAATACGGCTTTAGACGGTTTTCACGTCCCTTTTTGCTTAAATCTGTCACCCACAGAATGATGAATAATGCAGAAATACTTCAATGAAAAGGGCATAAAATATGTAAATCACTTTTATCAATTTCAACCCTAAAATTTACCTTTTATCCGTGTTTTTAATGTTTTCTCTTTCTTTTTATCTGAAAGAAGTTTGTTGGTGTGGAGTGTGCCTAATAAACCTTGAAATTAATCTCGACTCAAATGCTTTAAAATTTCTGCGTAAAAATGGGAATACCCAACAACATCCAGCGGTCTATCAATGCAAATTCTTTTGCCCACAACAAAACCATTCTCTTCTTCTTAAAACCAGTGCATTTTGTGAGGCCGCACATTTAATACAAATGTGCACATGTAAGTGTTGGTGTACAGACATGATGCAAGTGCAAGATAGTGAGCATGGGTGGGGACTCAGTCCTTCTTAGATGTCAAAGGCTCTTTCAAAGTAAACAAAAATAAAGTAGTTATATACTCAGATCTCTTGACTACCTGATAGTCTTTTCAAAGAAATCTAGTCTCGTTCATAAAAAAGATTGGCAAAAATTGCATCATTGTGTTATGCCGAGGATATGAAGGAAAACTCACACTTACATAGATGTCAGAAATAAACCTTTTGTATCTTTCACAATGCAGCATGTGCCGTGTGTTGACAGCCAAAAGCTATTAACATTCCCTTCTCTTCTCTCCCTGTAGATTCACTGATGAGTCCATGTTGAAAGCTCCTGTGTGTTTCAGTGTGTGTATTTGCTATTGAGTTTTCTGGGATTTATATGTTTATCCACCCACATTTTCCTGTGTAAGTATTCGTCTTTTTTGTGTGTGTGTCTGTGCACGCTTGTGTGTGTGTGGCCTGCTTGATGTGATTGCGCATTTAATTTTATTAAGGTATCCAGTGTTGGGGTTTTGGGTTGTATTCTCATCTTATTGCTTGTTAGAACAAATTGAGGGTGTGACGCTGTCGAGCGTGCACGCAATTTTCAGCAGGTAATCAAGAGTGGATCGATTTTATTCAAATAAAAGCAGAGGTTGCTGTGAGCCAAATTTACGCCTGAAGGGTTTGGAAATAATAAAGCAGTGCAAGTGAGCAGTGAGGGTCTTTTGTGGGTTTTGGAGACTCTTGGTTCACTCTTACATTCCAAGAATTAAGGAGCCAGGAGACAAATCATGTTGAATGTAATTTGGTGGAGGCTGGTTGGTGAATGATGCTCCCAAACAACAGAAATTTGTTATTTCATACCACCTCTGCAATTCGATAAACCTTATAATAAAGTTAATTGGCAAGTGTGCTGAACTGAAGAAAACGTGCTTCAGTGTTTTCCAAATGCTTAAAATAAGACTGTAATAAAACATCCCAGAAATAAAGTCAATTCACTTGATTAATCTGCTTCTTTGATTGGTTCATAGACTTGACCTTGTATCTCCAGTAACTCGCAGTAAAGATGTTTTTTTTTTTTCTATTCTCAGTCCTCCTACACAATTTGTGTCGTGAATCCACCACCCATTTTTTGTACAACTGGTTGGAGAGACAAACAGTGATTTACCTGATCTGACCTCAAACACATCATGGTGTAACCTTGTTGGAATAACAGGAATATGATTCCTTATATCACCTGATTCAGGTAGTTAGCTTTGAATCAGCAGGATTAATAGTTTTTTACTGGCTAATAAGTTGGTGTGCTTCACCACAGCTGCTTTGAGTCGATGAGGATCTGCTGCTTTAGTTGACAAAGGCTGCTTTCATTTTTTTCCCCTCTATTAAATGCATCCTTGCTCTTCAAGTGAACAACAAAAAAAATTTTTTTTTATTATTGTTTGTTGTGCTATACCAGAGACATTCAGCATCATTCTTACAGCATATCACTGACCAACACAGTTGGTTAGGGTGAACCATAACCCCAACCTCACTCTTTAACCCTAAACTGAACATCTCTAATTCCTAGCCCCTAACCCTGACACATAACCCCAAACCAAACATGTAAAAGATAGACTTAACCCTAACCCTAACACTGACCTAATACTAATCGCTAACTGCCGACTGTAACCGCAAAACCTAACCCTAAACCACTAACTGCTAACCACAAAGCCGAACCACTAACACTTAGCGCTAACCCTAACCCTAGAAAATTAAACACCAAGCCGAACCCTAATACTAACCCTTACCCTAACCTTATATTTCCTGTATACTAACCCTAAACTTAATCCTAATCCTAACCTTATATTGCCCAGATACTAACCCTATAACCCCTTTACGCTTCACATACAGTCATATATTCGGTTTCAAAAGCTCCTGTTCCATTCAAGTACTTTTTAATTAGTTGATTTGAAAAAGTTATTGACTAAATAAGCATCAACAGGAAGCAGTAATTGTACGTTGTGATTCAAAGTTCATAATTAACAGCTGGTTGAAGAGTTTCATGTAACAACATGTACTCAAGCATGTAATCAAATCAAAAAATTATTTTCTTGTGGGGTTTGAAGCATGTACTCATGTTTAGAGAGCAAGCTGTGACTGTTCATTATGCTATCCATGGTGTTTTTTTTTTTTTGTTCTGTTTTTTTTCCAGCTGCCGGTTTATTTGCAGCTTCAGCATTCATGCCACACCTCCAAAAGTGTCAAGTATAATAGTGAGATAATGATGGCTTCAGTCAATGAAACTTCATTTATTCCACTCTGAAAACACGCTTCTTCGCTTTCCGCTCCGAGTGCTCGCAGTATGTGTTGCTTGCTGTAAGAGCGAACGCAGGATTTAATTGGATGGATGGGCAGTGGCAGGGGGAACACATGATGCCTCCAGCTGGCTCATCAGTAGTTTATAGAGTCCCAAAACCACTCGGAGCGCTAAACAAGCTGGACTGACCTGAACCTCGCTAATTTACACCATCACCCAGTAATTTCCAAACTCACTTCTGGTTTCAAAGGGAGAGAACCTCACTTCAAACAACATCATGGTGCTGATATTTTACAGGATCCTCTTATTAAAGATGTTTAGCTCCATACTGAACAAAAAGACCAGTTTCTGAATTCTTGAAGGGGAAGTCTTCTCCTGTTCTTGCCTGATTTTTAGCTGCTCAACAGTTGGGGTCTCCTCTGTTATATATTTTTATCATTACACGCCGAATGCTTTATATTTTTGACAAGTGCATTCAGAAACAAGTGAGGTGGTCCTTCTCCTCCTCTGGACCTGGCAATGTCCAATTTTGACTTATCAGACCAGGATATAGTTGGTCCACTTTGTCCCAGTTAGTGTTGGGCAGTAAGACGATATTTATCGTGTGACAGTATAAAGGGGCTACTGGTAGAAATTTTGCGATACCGTTTATACCGGAGAGAGAGAGAGAGCAGATGTCTGCTGCATCTGCAGTGTGTAGTTGTGTCGCTCGCTAACAGGAAAACCGGAGCGCATCCTTTTGGGTGCATTTCCGTATATCACCAGCATGTCCAGCAGACTGCCTGGCATAGTTTCGATGAAGAAGAAACAGCTTCACCGGTGGTGGTCATGGTGGACACGGAGA